TGTAGGAATCACTAATTCCCGTCATTCATAAAGGGACCACAAACCTTCCCGCTTGGCATGATCGGTTGGCGTCATATATAGAGAGGATCGGGTTGGGTATGCTGAGGCATTTCATGTGGATTGAAATCGACAATGATCCTCTTACGGCAATGTCGGAGGGATGGCGCCCCAAAACCCATACGTTCCACCTTCCGGAAGGGGAAATGACGATCACCCTCAAAGATCTCACGATCTTCACCGGGTTGCCGATTTCTGGAGAGGCCATCATTGGTAGCACTACCAAACCCAAAGGATGTTGGGGGCCGCTCATTCTTGCTGAATTGAGATTTGACATGCCAATTCAAGGACGGGGGCATCCACCGTTGAATGCGGGACTAGTGTCTATCCGTGGCTCGTAACTCACATCCAAAACGCGGTGGAAATCAATGACGAGACTCCGGAAGATCAAGTGGAGTGCTATACACGCATCTACCTTGGTTTTGTGGGTAGATTTCTATTTTCCCGACAAGTCAAACAGTTGGATTCAAGGCATATGGTTGACATTGCTAACTGGTGACTGGGACGCAATCGGGGAAAAGAGTTAGCTGGCATATATAGGGTGCTCTGTATTTGCTCGAAGGTGGGAGCGAGACAAGCTGGTGGGGCGATGTTCATCCTCCAGCTCTGTGTATGGGAGCATCTTCCAATGTTCGCACCTCAAGACCCACGTCCGTACTGGAGAGCAGATGATGAGCTACGGTTTGTGCAAAATCTCCCCTATGGTGCCAAGTAAGTTTATTCCGTACTTAGCTAGATTTAAATTTATTCAATGGTTAGGTATATTTAAATTACATTTATTCCCTACTTAGCCTAATTGCTAAATTATGCCATGCTTCTTAGCTAGATTTAAATTACATTTATTCCATACTTAGCCCAAATATAAATTTATTCAATGCTTTTACTTACAAGGTGGATAGGAGCAAATACAAACGATCATCAACCAGAGCACACTTTACTGTTTTATTGTTCTAAGTTAGATAAGCCTTGATGGAACCAGATAATCATGCTTTATCATATTCTAACAATTTAAAATTTTTCAATGTAAATGGTCTCTAATTGCAAATTATGAATGAGTATAGGTTACATGGGACCCATATCCACGTGAAGTAGTCGAGCTGCATCATCTGAGACACCCCCAGGATTACGAGACGTGGTTGTGCAAGGTGCCATTGATTTGCTGGCACATTGTGGAGTGGCACCTACCCGATCGATCCTTGAGGCAATATCGATTGGAGCAACCAATTCCACAAACCCCGCCTCAAGGTTTCAAGGAGCTCCATGCCATCGACCTCCGACACTAGGCAAAGAATTGGCTTCTAAAGCATCAGTTCTATATCAACATTTGGGAGAATAGAGGGAATTGGGTGGTCCAAGGGATGCCGGAGATGTGACCTATGGGTTACCACGATGAGTACATGCAGTGGTATCGGAAGTTTACGCTTAGATGGGTGTCAAAGCAAGGTGTTGTGATGGGTTCGTTGGTAAGTCATCCTAATCTCCCTCGTAGTCTAATTATTTTGTTTTAACAGTTTAATTAATTTTGATTTATTACGTGGATTGCTTAGGTTGATGGATTGGAACACGCCAAACACACCCTCGATAGTGCTCCAACCATGGATGAGCGCAAGACTTCTTGGTTGGGAAGGCTTATGAACAACCTCCTGAGTTGTACCCGAGATCAAAGGAGGGATGTCGTGGCCTATCATTCCGTGATGGTGAGCGCATTGTGCCCCCGGTTGAGCCCCCACGAAGGAGCAAACGCAAGCCTCTGCCTACGTTTGAAGAGGTGCCTATAACTCAATCAACTGAGCTCCCTGAACCATTTGAGTACGAGTGGGCACCTGCAACGGATGTCGTTGTAGGGTCATCAAGCTCCGGTCCATCTCAGCCACCGGACATTTTCCCTCAAGGGTTCCCTCAATTCCACCATCAGCAACAGAGTCCGATGTATCACACCCCGCAGCAAAAACCCCTCACCCCCCGATCTACCATCAAGCTACCTGTCCATCTCAGCCACCTCCACCGCCTATAGTAACTCTAGTTGGGGCTCGGGTTAAGAGAAATCCGCGACCAGTGGTTGAGCGAGCCCACCAAGAAGCAGGAGGGAGAGATGGGGGACGAAGGGGTCGAGGGCGACGTGGAAGACCAGGAGGAGGAGGAGGGAGAGATGGGGGCCAAAATGAGGGGGAACCAAATGAAGCCAACCAGTGAAATTCTCATGCTTTCTTTGTTTATTCTAGTGTTATGTCATTACAGTGAACTATCCGCGTTTATTTATTTTTTTCGGTCTTGTGATTTGAGTTTGCATTGTCTTTGAACTATCCATGTTGTGTTTCTCCAGTCATGTCTTGTGTTTTGGCTTCTAGTAATCAATGATATATGTTAGTCTACTTTCTAATTTGACCCCATTTAAATTTATTCCAAATTCATGCCAACCATTAAACAAGCTTACAATTTAAACATCATTATAACTAAATGAAAATTAAGATAGATCACTTTTTCAATGTTGGTCCTGATTAATATCCGCACCATGCTGGATAGGTTGTCTGCACTTGGAGCATCGCTTCGGCCCCCGCCTCGTGCATTGCACTTGATCCATCTCATTGTGAATCCTTTCAATTTTAGGACGACCCTTGGTGCGTTTTAGGTGCAACAGTGGGATAATCAACTTACCAGCGTATATAGGCCAACACGCTTCATCTGGCATGGGGCTCAACGCTGCATCTTATGAGTTCCGTATCGCTTGTTCAGTGTTGTAAGGACTCCCCAGACTGTTTCTGTTTATGGTTATTGACTTAGCTACTGAACTGCATGTGAACAGGGTATCCTTTTGTTCATAAGCCTTTGCAACCAAGAAGTCTTGCGCTCATCCATGGTTGGAGCACTATCGAGGGTGTGCTGGGCGTGTTCCAAACTATCAACCTAAGCAATCCACGTAATACATCAAAATTAATTAAACTGTTAAAACAAAACAATTAGACTACGAGGGAGATTAGGATGACTTACCAATGAACCCATCACAACACCTTGCTTTGACACCCATCTAAGCGTAAACTTCCGATACCACTGCGTGTACCCATCGTGGTAACCCATAGGTCTCGTCTCCGACATCCCTTGGACCACCCAATTCCCTCTATTCTCCCAAAATTTGATGTAGAACTTATGCTTTAGAAGCCAATTCTTTGCCGAGTGTCGGAGGTCGATGGCATGGAGAAGGGCTGTGAAGAAAACCAAAATTCGCGCCTCACCGCATCCAACGACACCGGTGAGCGGATCCGCGACGCGGATCGTTGATGTGGACAAACGCGGGTATTCACCGTGTTTGTCTAGCACGGTGAATGCACCGCGTTTGTCCACGTCAGCGATTCACGTCGCTTTCATCGTGGCCGACTGATACGGTGAATATTTCACCGCGTTTTATTAAAACGGTGATGTCTTCACCATTTTCGTTTAAGGCGGTGAATGGTTCCCTCATTATTCACCGTTTTGCTTAACCACGACGAATACGTCATCGTTTTAATTAAAATGGTGAATTGTTCACCGTGTTGGTCTGACGCGGTGATTATGTTCACTACGTTACACAAAAACGGTGAATGTGAAACATGTATATTTTGGGAATTTTTTTTAATTACTAGTGTACTTTGGAATTTTTTCCTAATATACTTCTACTAATCTACCCAATAATGTATCATAAGCATTGCATATGAATGATTGTGCTCTTGTGTTTGATAACGAAATTAGGATTATGACTGACCCCATCTCCCGAATTCAGGGATTGTAGAACCTTCAAAAGTACGCTTAGGAATTCAGCAGCTCGTGACAATGATCAATGGCTCCAAAGGACTCCGGCAGGAAGACTTCAACTTTGGGTACTTTAGTAGGACGAGAGACTTGACGCAATTTTATGAAAGATGCTTATTAAGCCAAGTATTTCAAGATTGTTTTGATTCGAGCACCGGGCCACTTCAAAATGTTGTTGTTTTCAACAATTCATATATGTAGCTATGCTGTCATATGTAAACTTTTAGCTGAGATGACAGAGATACTAAGTTAAGATTCTTTTGCACAATCACACATATCAAACGTTGTATTTCTATATTATTAAATTTTTTTTTTAGAAGACAATTATTCCATGTGATCAAAACAAACAAAGGTCTGCAAAATATTAGTGGGTAGCCGAGATACAATCTGGGCCCCCACTTCTTTACCTATACCAAAGCTAAGTCTATTGAAATGTGTGCGGCCGCCCGAGCCCCTGCATCTTAAAACACGGATAATTTCTAGATCCGCTTGAGCAAAACGAAAAGGCCTAGAAATAACGAATAATGAAACAATTCATGGCATTCGTATCCAACTCTCCCAGCGAAGAAAAAGAAAAGTGCAGGTAACAATAACCAGCCGTCGTGCACAAGTTTCGATACTTGTGCATACTTTCGCTGAGCAGCATCAGCAACAACTCGGCCAGTCACAAAATTAGTCATCCCATTCTGAGTCAGAGGTAAAGATCCTGTCAAATCGACACACATCTCGCACCCTATCCCAGGAATAAAGTAGCAAATCCGCAGGACGAAGGGGTCCGCCGTGCCCATCAACCAAACCGATATCAAACTCCCTACCGGCAGAAATCTCAGACCTGTAACAGATGTCCAATAAGGTGTCACAAGCGAGGTTGTGCCGATTTTTAATGCCCACAACAATACATTTATCTAATAATCGCAACATTCAAACGACTTAATATGAAATTGCTTGCAAAATGAGTGGCAATAGTACTACAATCAATCAATGTTAGCTTGATTTGTCATTATGTTTCTCAAAGGATAAAATCTGTTGGATGCACTAGATTGTCTGATTCTGATTAGACAAACTGTTACATAACTTCACCCTTTTAGCCACTAGTGAATTCTTTTTAGTTTAAAAAAATCGAGATCTACTATGACAATTAAAATGTTTTTCATTATGATGACCATTCAAATTTTCATACACACTTCAAATACATTAAAACAGATTATTTTCTCGTACATAATAATCTGCATTTTAAGGGCATCTCGTCGTTCATCTATTGACAACATACAAACATCTTCACACGGGTCTGGCTCATGACTAGTTCCATATACGAACTTATTTTTGTAACTACATGGAATGACTCGTAGCACCCAACCAACATTGAAGATTTCATAATGAACTCCGGCGGGGAACAAGAAGTAGAGGTTGTTCCTTCTGCAACGTGAACCCAGACTTCTCACTCATATCTAGCTTCGAAGGATCTTCTTCATCGGGGAGGCACCAATCGAAGCTCCGAACTAAAGAAGCCAAAACAAACGTAATCTGTCTAGCGGCCAACAACATTCCGGGACACATCCTTCTCCCAGCGCCGAATGGCAACAGCTCGAAATCTTGCCCTCTAAAATCCACCTTCGACCCAATAAACCTCTCCGGCTTGAACAACGTAGGGTCATCCTGCCACACTGTCGGGTCCCTTGAAATCGCCCACACGTTGACCACAATCTGAGCCCCTTTAGGGATGGTGCTACCCATCACCTCACAACTCTCCGACGCTTGGTGTGGCAACATCAGCGGCCCCGGCGGGTGTAGCCTTAGTGTCTCCTTCACGATTGCATTCAAGTACGAAAGCTGAGACACCGCCGATTCGTTGGGCAGCGGGTTTCCCTCGAGCGGAGGTGACAATTCTACCTTCAGTTCCTCCCGCAGCTTGTCCATCGCTCCCCTGTTACGAATTAGCTCTGTCATCGCCCATTCTATTGTAGTCGTATTAGTATCTGTAGCGGCCATGAACAGCTCCTGCAATGACACCAAAGGAAAAGCTAAACTTAAGCAAATATTTTTTTCACCAAAAAAAAAAACTTAAGCAAATATTGTGGTGTACACCAGAAAATCGGATAGGAATTTTTTTTCCTCTTTCGCACTTACGAAACTCAACCAGTCAATCTGGTCATCATCGAGTCCATTTTCTAGGAAAATATCCAACAAGTCTTGAGCACCATATAGCTCTCTCTGCCGGCGCTCTCGCCTCTCTTTGACGTAAGGCTGCCAAACGGAGTAGAGCTCATTGCAACGGCGAAAGCCCTCGCGTCTCACCCCCTGGGGATCTAATTTCTTCAGAACTGGAAAAAAATCAGCGAAATTAGGGGAATTCCCCAACTCCATCAACCTCCAAATCAGAGACTTCAATCGATTTGCTGTCTCGCTACTTTCGAACCCTATGCAATCTCGCGACAACATGAGATTCGTCAGGGAGTCGAAGAAAGTAGTGAAAACCACTTCACCGATACTAACCGTCTCCCCTAACTTCCCCTCGAGAAATTCCACCATCTGGGCAACCTTCCTCTCCCTGACGGGAGCCTGCGATTCAATCGCCTTGGGTGAGAAGATATGGTTCCTCAACATTGCTCGGAAGGCCTTCCACTGGTCGTTGCTGCAGTTGGAAGACCAAACGATCGCCTTGCGATCGGTCTCCATCGTGTCGTAAGGCACGGCCGTGGGAACGTATCTGGCCGAGAGCAGGCGGTCGTGGGTTCTCAAGATTTCGGCGGCCGCCGCTGGGGAAGAGGCTACGACGAGGAGCTGGGAGCCGAGGCGGAGGGAGATGAGAGGACCGTACAGCTGGGAAAAGTGTTGGAAGGAGATGTGAGCTTGCTTGCCGAGGTGAGGGAGGTTGCCGATGATCGGCCATGGCTTCGGGCCTGGAGGCAGCGGCAGTGGGCAGTGTTTGGAAGATGCAGAGGTGGAGAAAAATCGGGAAAAGGTGATGACGAAGAGGAAGGCAATGGAGAGTGGGAGGAGGAGAATATAGATAAGCACCATTTTGTCAGGCGATATGATTTTGGGGTAATGGGATATGAGCTGTTATTGGAGCAAAGATATCTGCTGGGGTTTCATTTATATGGATTGAACGACTACGACGACAAAACCAGCAAGTTTCACTCGGTTGAACGATTCCCAGGTGGACGAAGATGCATGGCTTTTTTTATATTGGATTTGTTTAGGGGTAGTTTTCATCTGTATCGTTTATCAGTTTGTCGCTCATTCTAGCCTCAAAACAGCATATTGCCGGGTCCAGTTTGTCTCGCATTCTAGCCTCAAAATAGCATATTGACGGGTATAATGACTAATTGTCACTAGAGATAAATGGATTGAATTTATGGGTATAATGATTGATTGGAACTAAGAATTTTCCATCAATAATAGGCATCTTTCAGCCGCATGATAAGTAAAATAATAAACTATTTGATTACGTACATTATCTAATTATACTTGTCCTAATAGTTCCGATGATTTAATTATAAACCAGTCCATTTGTCCTAATACTACCTTTTTGTCATTTGGATTTGTATTTGTATCTAATTATACTTGTCCTAATAGTTCCGATGGGTTGGGTTTTTAACACATGGATTTGGATTTGTACCCATGCCCAAAGGAAAATTACAGTTTGGTACCTAAACTTAATAGATATGAAGATTTAATACCTAATTTTTTTTTTTGCATATAAGTCCTCAAAATATCGATGTAAAATTACGTTTTGGTACCTAAAATTTTTTGGTCTTACATTTTGGTACCTAAACTTTTCAAGTTTTACAAATAGGTCCAATTTTTGTGTGTGTAGTTAAAACACCCTCAAGTAAATGGATATCCATATCCAACCCATACCCATTTACATTATGAAAGCAATATCCATACCTAACCCAAACTCATTTACAAACCCCCAAACCCATATACACTTCATCCAAACCCTACCCATACTAAATGGATCTATTTGGATTTGGGTAAAATTACCCATGGGTGGTAGGGATGGCAATTTACCCACCCATGGGTATTTTTGTCCAAACCCAATTATGCCCATCTATATGGGTAAGGTATGGATTTATTCTATATGGGTTTGGATAGTATTTGGATAGATAGAGTTGGGTTTGGATAGTGTTTAGATTTGAAAATGGGTATGGGTTGAGTATGGGTACCCATTACTTTGGACCTGTTTGTAAATGTTTTATTTTTAGGTACTAAAATGTAAAACAAATTTTTTAAGGTACTAAAACGTAACTTGTGCTACAACGTGTTCCTGCTCTTCCATGGCTGGGCGGCTTGCTTCGACGGCGCCGGTGCCTCCGCTTCCGACAGGCGACAACTTCAGTCACTGATCAGGCTCCGTCGTTGATGGGTTGAGCTGAATGGAGAGGAAGCGGCGAGGATGCTGTTAACAGAGCAACTGGGACCTTCCTCGGTGTTGATGACATCGGAGGAAGAATCGGAATCGTCGCCGCCGTCTTCCTCCGACGGTCGCTATCTGGGGCCTGAGGGTCGCTCTTCTCACTACTTGATTACTTAGTTTTGGGATGCTTGGTTTTACTGGAATCCATTTAATTGGACCTGTAAAGCATTGATTGAAACCTCAACACACTAACTATTATCGAAATTCCTACTTTGGGAACATTATCACCGCCATTCTTGAACAAGGGTTGAAGACTATCACCGCCATTCTTGAACAAGAGACTTGCAGAGGAGAATTAACGGCAACAGAGAGTATCGAGGAGGCGGAGCCGGCAACTGGGCCTGGTGAGCAGGATTTTAGTTTTAGGCAAGTCACCAAGAAATCATTATAGTAAGGGATTTGATTTGAGAGTGAAGTACAAAATTGGAGAAGAACGTTAATTACTCCTGATCTCCTTGTTCCACCAGAGCCGCCTTGGGGGTAAATGGGTTCGTCTCCAACGCCTTGGAAGTAACCTGCATTGTCTAATTGGGGGCCAATCAACCGCAGAATCTGAAAAACCAAGAAGCAAAATAAGGGGGGATTTGCTGAATTAGGGAGGAGACTTACAGAGATGCAGAAGAGGAAGAGGAAGAAGCAGAGGAGAGTGAAGCAGCCGCCGCCTCGACTGTGAGCGCCTGCAATTGCGATAGCGAATGGCTCCTGGACATGGATTTAGGGCTGGCTCTTCTGGAGGCGGAGGGCTCCACTGCGATATATGGGCTTGGTGAGAACTCAAGGAGAAGAGGACGCAGTCAGTTTTTGGTATCAGTGGGCGGCGGCGATGCGATTCAGTGGTCGGAGAGGATGTCGAAATCGGAGGTGGCCGGAGTGGCGACGTTCGAGCTAGTGGCGGTGGCCGGGGCGCCGACGTCGTGGTCGTCTCTGACTCTCTGTTTGCTCAGCCGGCTGGCCCGACTCGTAGTCGACGAAGAATAGGTAGAGAGAAAGAGAGAGAGAATGCCGAGTTGCCGACTCTGAGTCTCGACTGAGAGGAAACAAAGAGATTTTTCATTTTCTTTTCTGTTTCGTTTTTCTTTTTTTAATTATTTGGGTTTGGATTTTTTTACCCAAGTTCATGGGTAAAACCTAAGTAAACCCAACATAATGGATATGGGTATTGACCCATCTGATTTTATCCATTTACACTTTAATTGGATTTCAGACCCAATCCAAATGGGTTGGATAGTTTTAAATCCATGGGCATGGGTATAATTGCCAAGTCTAATGGGTGGGTAATTGCCATCCCGACTCTCCATACATTCAGCCTCAGGGTATCTATTACTCCACCGTCCTTGGCTCTTTTCGGGTCCAGATCTTGTCAGTAACTGATGGGTCAGTAACCCATCAGTAACCCCTTCCCTGGTCCCCACGTGTCAGTCACTTTTTTATTTAAATTAAATGTGAAAAGGGTAGTACGGTAAAATTGCACTTACTCCTATTTATTATTGATGCTCACTTTTGACCGGAGCCTATCAGCCCCTCCTTCTCTCTCCTGACAAAACATTTAATTTTTCTTTCCTTAATCTTTAACGGACGATTTCTAACTCGTTTTAAGTCGAAATTTAATTTTTTTTGCACAGCTAGATCAGATTAATTGTGCTCTTCAAAATGATATCCACTTTGATATTTTTTGGACACAAAAAAAATTTTCAGTTATTACCAGTCTATACCATATGGTATTGACTGGTATTAAACAAGAGCATACCATGTGGTATGGTAATATTTGCCACATGAATATATATTTCGTTACCACCCAATACCATATATTACCAGTCTATACCATATGGTATTGACTGGTATTAAACAAGAGCATACCATGTGGTATGGTAATATTTTCCACATGAATATATATTTCGTTACATCCAATACCATATGGTATAGTGTGGTAATATCATTATATATTTCGTTACCACCCAATACCATATGGTATAGTGTGGTAATATCACACAATTCACACAATACCGTATGGTATAGTGTGGTAATATCAATATATATTCCGTTACCACCCAATACCATATGGTATAGTGTGGTAATATCAATATATATTTCGTTACCACCCAATACCATAGGGTATAGTGTGGTAATATCAATATATATTTCGTTACCACACAATACCATATGGTATAGTGTGGTAATATCACACAATACCATGTGGTATAGAGTGGTAATATCAATATATATTTCGTTACCACCCAATACCATATGGTATAGTGTGGTAATATCAATATATATTCCGTTACCACCCAATACCATATGGTATAGTGTGGTAATATCAATATATATTTCGTTACCACCCAATACCATAGGGTATAGTGTGGTAATATCAATATATATTTCGTTACCACACAATACCATATGGTATAGTGTGGTAATATCACACAATACCATATGGTATAGAGTGGTAATATCAATATATATTTCGTTACCACACAATACCATATGGTATAGTGTGGTAATATCACACAATACCATATGGTATAGAGTGGTAATATCAATATATATTTCGTTACCACGTAATACCATAAATTACCTTAGGGTATAGTGTGGTAATGTCAATATATATTTCGTTACCACCCAATACCATATGGTATAGAGTCATAATATCAATATATATTATCTAAAAGGAAAAAACAGAAGGAGGGAGAGAAAAAAATCGTCTTCTGATGCCTCTCATTTCCTCTTCCTCAATCAAGAACACCAAAATGCCAAAAAAATGAGAAAGATCGGAATTGAGTCCAACGAGTTAATGAAGAGAAGAAATGCAATGAAAGAGAGTGGCTACAATTTTTATGCTAGAGAAAAAAAATGAAGAAGGAAGAGAGCAGATTTAGATTTGAAAAGGAGATTGTGAGAAAAAAAGTAAGAGAGAAGGAATAGAGAAAGAGAAAGGTTATGGAAAGAGATTGAAAAAAAGGAAGAGAGAAGGAATAAAGTTGAGTTGCAGAGAAGGAAGATTCTCTCTCTTTCATTGAAAAGCCAGCATTGAAATGCGGAATAAATAAAAAATTAAAAAAATGAAAACGGACAAAAATGCCCCTCCCCAGCCAGGGTCCAGCCCATCCACACGATTTCTCCCTCCCCAAATCTACGGCCCGCGTGTTGTTACTGATGGGTCAGTAACCAGTGGTTACTGACCCTATCTTGGACCGCTCTTTTCTGTATTGTATTACTACTCCCCCTTTGTCTCCTTGTGGTTACATACGGCTATGGTACCTTTTTTTCCTTTCACTTCCCTTTTCAAAGGAAAATGCAAGACATTTGAATTTCCCGCGCCAAGACTAAAAGGAAGGAAGATGGAGCTGGAGTGACGTCGTATCCGGCGCAACAAATGAGTTGGAGCGACATCGTACTGAGAATAGAAAGAAGGAAAAGAACTCAAGAACGACGATGTGTATATGGACTTGGACAACTTCCCTTCCAGTATCCAACTAGCAAAAGTCGCTCGCTATCGCTTCACGTATAAAAAAAATAAATATTTTAAAGAATAATAGTTTTAATGTTGAACCAAAAGTGGAAGTAATCTTATTTCATTCTTAATAATTCTTTTTATAGGTTTGTTATTTACAATAGCATATGGTCGATGAACTTGCATAAGATAGTAGAGTCGTCGAATAGATTATTTATGTTTAAATTTCTTTCATGATACTATTTTTTCAATTTTTATGGCTAGTAGTTGATCCTGTTGTAATTTTTGTAGAATGAAGTATCTTCTCTGGATCTTTTCAAGAAGTATTTAACAAAAAACAACTGTTGAGTGTTAAACTCAAAAACTATCAGAAATACTTTTAATATAAGAGGTAATGTAAAATGACATCAGAAGATTTCTAACTTAAATATGAATACAAATTCTAAAAATAAAAAAGTATTGAAAATAGATCACGATAGATTTATTTCATATTAAAAAAACTATTTTTCAATTTATTTTTTTAAATAATATAAATTAAAAAAATTATGTTTTCTAGATAAAGAATGATATATGGTAATGAAAATTTTGTATTTTCAAATCAGAGCTTCTACTTTTAAGTTACTAAAAACTTTAGTTTAATAAAAAGTGAAACTTTATAGGTGCTTGGCTTGACTTCAACTTTTGAAACATAAAACTAATAAAATTCGAGTCAAACATAGTCTTACTCTTTTGACTTTTTTGTGGAGTTTGAGGTAATCGTGGTTCTCCTTTGTGAAAAATTTGGACTGATTGCAGGTTTGAGGAGGTTCAACTCGCATTGATCGGGAGAAATTAGGTTGGATACACATGCAGGGGCGTAGCCAGGATTTTGTCGAGGGTGGGTCCATTTAGAAAAATATATACAATAAAATAATTTTTTAGCTTTTTAAATCATCATGATATGATTTTGTATTTACAAAAACTTGATAAATTAAATATTTTTCAAAATATCAAGAATATCACTATATATGTATCAAAAAATTATTTATGATTTAGTTAGATATTTGCTTTTGAATGTTGTTCTTCATCGAGACCGTTTAGTATCAATAAATCCAGTTGGTGGGAAAGATCTAATAATGAATCTTATACTATTTAGTAGTTACTAACACTTTTCTTCTAACGAAAACCAACTTATACATGCTTAAAGCTTCTGTAAATTTGAATATCATGTGATTAACAAATGGGGTTACAACGATTCGAAGACATAAGATATCGGTCAACCATTCTCAATTAGAAGTGCCCTAAATTTCATTCTCAATTAACTATATACTAATTAACTAATTTTTGTCATTATAGGAACCACCAGTTACACTCTCCCTACCCCTGATCAAAATAAAATTATTTTTATAAATTAGCTATGATTTGGTGGAAATTAGTTGTAGACATTGAATAAATACATCGTTAATTTTAGGCGGATCATATGCACCATTATCATTTGTACATATCTCGATATAAAAATATTGAATATGTCAATGCACAACTTATAAAACATACATCAAATATTTGAAAGGTCAACCATTTTCGTTTAAATACGTGTTATTTTTCATACCGATTAACTATTATACATAATTAATCATTTTCCATCCCGACCCAGGGTGGGTCTCGGGACCCACCATTTAACCCTCTGCCTCCACCAATGTACACATGAATTTGGGTTCAATTATCTTTCTCAAACAAAAGAAAAAAGCAAAATACTAAAGCTAAAACTCGCTACCGACTCAAAACACCAGGTTCAACTCGCTATGACCTGGTTGACTCGATCTTTGGGAAAATTCACACCAGATACAACCCGCCTATTACAAAAACAGATAAAACTCATTGCCGCCAAAAATCTGTAAAATCGTGTTTAAGTCTCTTGGTTGGGTCGAATTAGTTGTATACCCATGCATTTGGACTCTATTGTCATTGACAACAAAAAGGAAAAAGATAAAAAAATACTAAAGCGAATAAAACTCTCAACACTGCGTTTAACTCGCTTTGACAGGGACGAACCAGTTGAAACAAATTCACAAGTTACCCAACCTGTCAATTACAAAAGCGGATAAAACTCGCTCTCGATATGAAACGCGTTATCAATGGGTCAGAGTTCAATTGCCATTCTCAACGAAAAGAAAAATGAGAAATAAAAAAAACATTAAAGCGTACAAAACTCGCTTTTGATTTAAAACTTGTCAACATCGTGTTCAACTCTCTATGAATTGTTTTTTAACAAATTAACACTTGGTCCAACCTGCAACCTACAAAAGCGGATAAAGCTCGCTCACAATACAACACTCGTCAAAACCTTAGATTCGGGTTCA